TAAAATGTAAGGGCAAGAATTTTGATAATGTCTCAATTAAGAGTGCATACTCAAAGACCAGACAGTTTATAAAGCGCAAGGGTTTAGTTATAGTTTTAACTAAACCTCCTTGCAATAAAAACTGGATTAAAACGATAGATAGATTTGAGCTACAATTGGTATAAATTAAAAGTAGTTCAGGGTTTTGGTTACTTACATTTAAAAAAACATTTATACAGAAACTATTCAAAGATTTCGTCAAATATAACTTTATTAATGATTGATTAGATAGCAAAATAACTATTAAATGGAGAGATAACAAACAAGAATGTCTCGTAAATGAATTTTAATCCTAGGAATTTAGTTTTATCTCAATTTGGATTTCAATATATATATTTTGTTTTTAGGATTATTTTGTTTGGAAAGTATTCATTCTTTTTTAAAAATGTGCTGTTCTTTTTATCCTTTTAAATTATTGCATTACTTGTCATTTCTTCTAAATTTGTCATTCCATCATCAATACTCCTGTGCTTTTTACTTCTTAGTTTTTAAGTTTTTAATATATTATTATTAGTCATTAAGTAATTAATATGAATAAGTTATTTCTAGAATATTAATAGAATAAGTACTTTAAAAATATGTCTGTAATATACTTTAATTAATAGTAGTCAGTTATTTCTGTTTAGTTTATAATTCTCCAAAAATATGTCTGTGATATATTTGAAAATATATTTTGTATTTCGTATATTTTGTTCTTATTTTAAATAATAATTTTTTTCAGATTTTTGGGCTGTATTGATTTTATGTACAAATGTAGAAGTAATACCAGGGGTTAATTTACATACTGTATGTACATGTGCTGCCATGTAGTGATCTATTCGTAAATTAAAATGAGTGTAACGTCAAATGGCCCGAAATAGCGATCTATTTATGCTTATTTATCTATGGATTAGGTCATAGATAAACAAGTATAATAGATCGCTATGTCTGGCGGTTTGACGTTACCTCGATTGGAATACAAATTTTTAAAAATAGATGGCAGCACATGTATAATATTTAAATTAGCCCCTGGTATTACTTCTTAATTTGTACGTATCGTATACAGCCCCAAAAACCTGAAAAATTTTTAATATTGGAAATAAGAACAAATCATACGAAATACAAAATATATATTTTCAAAGATATTACATATGTTTAAAGAACAATTAAAATTATGTTTATATTAACAATTATAATTACAGTTATGGAATGTTTGAAAATATAATAATTATTATACATAATTATAAAAGTATTATAATTTCACAATTATGCTTAAATAATATTTCAAAAACTAAATATGTAAGTCAAGAAAATCACAGAAGTATTTAACTAAACTAAGCACAAATAACTAACTAATATTAATTACTTAATGACTAATATTAATATATTAAAATCTTAAAAACTAAGAAGAAACTACAAGCACAGGAGCACGCAATGAAATTACAAATTTAGAAGGAATGACAAATAATACAAAAATTTAAAGGGTTAAGAAAAAAACAAATAATTTGTTAAAAAGTACAAATACTTCACAAGCAAAAAAGTCCTAAAAACATAAAATATATATATTGATATCAAAATTGAGAGAAGTTCAAATTCCTAGGATTAAAACTCATTTACGAGACATTGTTCTTTATTAATTCTGCATGTAATAGTTATTTCGCTATCTAATGAATTAATAGTAAAGTTGCATTTAACAAAACCTTTGAATAGTTTCTGTACGAGTGTTTTATAACATTACATTTAGCCATGTTCCATCATGAAAACATTATCATTGAAATTGCCATAAAAGATCAACAAAGTGTTTACAATGAACAGAATAATGTTTTATGCACATACAATTGTTTATGAATCAAAAGATAAAAGCAATATTTTTGATTCCCAAGGTCGGTAACAAATATATCTTGAATTTAAACATTATATTGGGATGTTACACAAGTTTTATTTGAAGAATATTATAACACTAATCTTCAATCAAAATACATTAAAATATTATGTATGGTATAGACTCTCTTTATAAGTGTTCACATTTGCTAATGTAATAGATAATCTTATTAAATATAACAATGAACTTACGTTGATGAACATTTAAACCAATACTAGTTTACTTTATAAGTGTTTACATTTGCTAATGTAATATATAATCTTATTAAATATAACAATGAACTTACGTTGATAAACATTTAAACCATACTAGCTGAATAACTGTTTTGCAACTTCAACAATATGAGATTCAATCCAATCATATAACAATTCCGAAGATAATGGTATTTCATCAAACATCAAAACACAGTATCTGCTACTAATACTTTTTAAAAGAAATAGCTGAACCTAATGTTTTAAATAGACATTCATAAATACACTATACACTTGTATCTCTGAATGCAACTTTCTCAATGTTTGAGGACATGGCAAAATAAAATTTGTCTCCAAAAATAGTAGACCTTTGGAGACTTTTTGTACGACTTATTCCTTAAATTATTGCATTGTTTATGAATCCTTCTTGTCATTACATATTGCATTCCTTGGTTGTCAAAAGTACTCCTGCGCTTTGTTCGTGCATTTTGCAGCAATTTGCAGGTACCCCCAAGACACCTATTCAATATAATAACATGTTGACATATCTTGATTATATATAATTATTGCTGCAATTATTATTAAAAAATACCTTTGCGGAAACTTGTATTGGAATAGCTAAATATTTTAACCCGCACTTGACACTTTTTTAGGTACTATAAAAACACTTTGCCATATTAAATTTCACAAATGTTCACTTAAACAAAATTTTAGAAACAACACGAGTTCAAAAAGTTAGGTTATTCGTACAGCCATACAGACAGCGATCAAATACTTGACAGCCACTTGCATGAACCACGAACAATTTGTAGTTGAAATTGAGCGCATGAGCCATCTGTTTTTAAAAATTGAAACTACTCAGGACCAAAACAGTGCAACGCGCATTTGTTCGAAGATAACTCCCCATGGATTAGGTTGTTCAAACACGGGGTCATACTCTTCTTTTATCTATGCACGGGGTATTCTAATACAGCCACTAAATTCTGATACATGACAGATGGGTTTATCTATGATTCTAATATTGTCTAGGGTTCAATCCCAAAACGTTTAAATCTCTGGCTGCGGTGCTAATGTCATTATTTATGAATGATATGACAGCTTAACTATATATAAGAATTTTTTGTGTTTTTTAGGTTATATTTATTTTAAGCTAGGACGTCAAAAAATATCTTCTCTCTGTTCATTGTGTTATTTAATCTATTCCAGCTATTTTAAAACTATTTTTTCTTAAAGAACACATTTATGCAATTTATATCTATATCTAGAGGGAATGCAGCAATCGTAAAAGAGAACAAATGTTTTGCTATTTTAAAAACATACCGAGATATGTTGCATTGCAAAAAATTTCATACTTAATGAATATTCGTTTCTCTGTTAGTTCTACTACTCTTACACCGTTAGACGATTTTACATCGCATTTAGTAAGGGAGAAGAGTGAAAAATGGGGCCGTACAACAAGACAAAATAATGTAATTCACGAGAAAGAACTGTTGGACTTACCTGGAGTTTCTAATTCTGAGTTGAACATTAGAGATTTAACAACGGTTGAAATCGATAATATATTACTAAATACGTTATACTTGAAAAAATATCCTGACTTCAATTATATATTAGATCAATGCCGCAAGCTTAGTAGGTTGCCTACAACGGAAAAGTTTTTAGAAGCAATTTCGCACTGTAGTCGCATGGGTTTAAAACAAGAAGTGACAAAATTAGATAAACTTTTACTTGATTATAATCCACAGGAATATGAGAATAATGCTCAATTACAGCACTATCATATAGAATTGTTGTGGAAGCAAGGAAATATTGAAAATGCAACACATTCGTTTCTTGACATGTATCAGAAATTTGTACAGTTACGGCCAAAGGTATATGCAATGAATAAACTTTTGTCAAATTTGAGTTTTTGATATGAAAGCTAAAATGTTATTTCATATAAATTAGATGTTAGAATGTGTCACAATAGTTTTTCTTATAAACTGTCTGTCACTAAAATTATTTGTCGGAAAAAAAAATTATTGATAACATGTATAAAAGTAGTGAAATTAAAAAAAAAATTACATTTGGGGATAAGACAAAATTGCACACAACATTCACATGCCAAAATTACGTTTACATATATTAATTACTTTTTAATTACATATGAAAAATAAAATATAATTTTTTTATGGAAAGAAAAAGGGAGGCTTTTGAGTTCAGAAAAATATAATCATGTATATGTATTTATATGTTTTATAGGTACTTGAAATGTCTCTTCATATGATATTTGTTCTTGTACCGAATGGAAGTGATGCCAATTTAGTGATGATGACAAAGTTTGCAACAAATTTTTATAAAAAATTCAATGAACTGCAGCCGTTATGTTTAACATGGGAACTATCATTCCTTAGTGAGTGGTTTTCAGATCAAGTTTGGTCCAAGCAAATTTTGGAACAATGTCCAGAAATACTTGATAAAGTAAAACTCAGGTATATATGTATAATTATAGTCTCAATTTATAACACATCATTATTCAGATATTTTGTACATTATTTAATCTCATTTTAATAAAAATATTAGAGTACTATTATCTCAAAGAAATATTATCATGAGTTTACCTAAAGTGATAATAATTGAATTTTTAAGTGTAATTTGAAGTTTCTTGAAACATAACACAATAGTTCTGATATTTATTTACATAATATTATTAAATATTAAATATGTATGTAACTATCAAGCAAATGTTTTATGAGTTTTAAAACTTTTTCCAGATTATTGCCTATGGCTAATCACTCACTTCAAAAGCATGATGTTGATACTGTACAAAGGATTTTAGAAATCATGTTAGCATATAATTTAAGGAATTCATATATAATATTACTTCATTTACTATTTGACTACAAATGTAAGTATTCATAGTTTAGTTATTATTCATGATCATGTTCTGCTTTTTTACTTAATCCTGCACTAAATTGAAGCAAGATTACTAGATATGTGGTTACTGCTCCCAATATCTAAAAAAAAATTAAATATATATTTTTAATACTAATCTCAATATTCAGATAATTTTAACAATTTATGTCAACATAAAGCATAAAAAGACTCTTAATTAATTGCATTTCAAAATATACTAACACAAAAATGAAATATGGTATTAAATTATAACATACCGCTTGCAACAATGTAAAATCTATGTTGAAGAAACCACATGCTGTAAAATTTATTTCATGATGTATAAACTGTAATGACAGCAAAGTAGCCTGTAAGATTAAATAATTTCGGTTAGAGGCATTTTAAAGAAAATGTTACAAGTTAATGTATTAGCTAATTACCGTTGTTCGAAAGTTATCATCATAGCTGCCATAGTTCTTAATACTATGTAGAATGTTGCCAGTATCATTGGCCTAAAGATATTATTGAAATTAAATGTAATATTACACATATCAGACTAAGAGCTCGCAAACCATCCGACTAAGAACTTGAGATCCACAAAGTTAGAAATTTTTTAATGATATTTTATTGTTGGTCCATTAAGAAAGTACCATTATCCCTTCAATTTTTGAAAATGTCAAAAAAAATTGTTAAAAATTGGTATATCGGATTTTATTCAAAAACACCTTCAAAATGGCGTATAAATTATTTAAATATTAGAGTGGAGCCAGTTCTGTATGGCAATGCGCCCATACCGTTTGTGCGTCGTGACTATTATACTTGACTGGCAGACCCTTGTAACGGTCAGAATGTTCGGGCTGTTCACATATACCTTTTGACCAGTTAAGAGAATACGTTCTCAAAATTTGAGCCATTTGGGAGCTGATCATGAATTTTTTTTTTTTGACTGTTTCAAAAATCGGAGGGATGATGACGCAACCGCGAGGTTCCTGCCAGAATGGTACTTTCTTAATGGATCGATAATAAAATATCATTTGAAAAATTTCTAGCTTTGTGGGAAACGGGTTAGGAATAGATAGGTTTGCGAGCTCTTCTGCTATATATCACTGGCATAAACATAATATATAATTATGCAAATTTATACAAATTAAAAAAAATAAAAGGTTACAAAAAAATTATTTTTAAGAATAAATATCCATACATACTAAAACCAGGAAAAATACAAAATTAAACTCAATGTTTAAAAAAAAAACTTAAAAGTACTAAACTTTGAATGAAATAAAATATAAATAAATAATAAATTATGTAGTTTATCACACAATTAAACGGTTGAAAAAAAATGAAGGGATTATGAGATCTGATCCAAATAATGATATTACAGTAAAAATAGAAAATTAATAGTTTTGTGTGAAAATATTTCGCTTCTTACTGATGTGGTGAAAAGTCTATTGTTTTTTTTTAACTTTCCGTGGGGAAAATCGAAAATGAAAATTGTTGCAAATCTTCACGTTTAAGAGGTTTCTGAACATTTTGGCATACCTCAGAAACATTGGATGTGTGTGGGTGTATCTGTTCACGTTTTCAGAGATGTGCTGATTAGTTTTTGGCAAAGGCAGGTCGAGCCGTTACGGAGATACGGAGCAAAGTGTGCAGAAAATAGAAATCGAGTTTTTGTGAGAACGGATTATCAATTTGATCTAAAAACATTCAATTTGTAATGATTGGGAGAATTGGTGATTAGTTTTTGGGAAAACTGGTTCAGCCATTTTGAAGATACAGAGCTAAATGTTGAAAAATGACAGTTTTTCAAAGAACTAAGCATCTGATTTGAATGATTCAAAAAACTATCTGCTTGTATTGACAAAAAAATTGTTTTTGGGAAAAATAAAATTCAATTCATTTTTTTTATATATCGAAAATAATAATTAATGAATAATTTGTCATAATCAATGAATTGTGTATGTGATAAGACAATACATATAGCATGTAATGAAATTTACCTCTGATGCACACATATGGCATGTTCCACATAAGACAATCAGGGGTAGAACATACAAAAGCAGCCATATAGTGCTGCAAGTAGAAGATAGCGCGCCTTTAGATTCTGTTAGTACAAGAAGATAGAACATTTGACATGTAGTCGTCACGAAAATGAAAGCTATTGTCACTAAGCTCTGTATGCCAAGTGCATGCATTATTTTCTTTGATATTTCACATAAATTATGATGTATCTCGCCCATTATTTGTAGAACTGATGAATCTATCATTTGTACATGGTTTTCAATAGCACTCACTTTATTTACTTTCATTCCTTTCAACGGAGTTGCAATTTTCGTTTCAGGCAGGTATACTGTTTTCGTAATCGGTCTTACCTAAAAATATGAATGGAATAAAATTTAATTTAAACTCCTTTGCATTAAATTAAATAGTCGAATGATGTATATAGTACTAATTTAGTCTTCGAATAAAACAAACGGTAATTGCTGTTCGGAGTTGGCTACGCTACACAAACAAATCATCATATTTTCTAAACTGTTAATTATTTTTCCATCAATATGTAAGATTTTGAAATTTAATGATTTCGGAATACACATATTTAGAAGACTATGTTAAGATCAAATAGAGTATTATATGAAAAATTGAAAGTATTGACCTTTAAATATTATGCACATACAATTATATTACAGAATAATAATAAATAAATGTTGTTTTGAACAATTCGTTGAATTTTATATAAAAACGATATGTTACACATTCTGTTCACAAAATAGAGGTTAAAGTATTTAATTTTTCAATACTTTATTTTTACCTATTATCATATTCACTTTATTAATGTCATAATTGAATTTTATAGAAAATAGTTTTCTCAAATTTTTCCGGAAACGATTGGCCGTACCCGAAAGTTGGATATTGAGTTAATGTTACCAAATAACATTCTCTAAAACGATTCCTCTATACTAAGCTTTAGTATTTTTAATACAATAGTTGTATTATTTCTTCCATGCCCGTGAGCATTTTTTTGTTTTAAAATACGGCCGATTATGTATTATTATGACATTGCATATTTAAAGGCATGAACTATTAAACTATTTGTACTTATAACTAACACTATCAACTATAACGGTTGAATTGCAGTGATTAATTAGTTCGGTATGTTTTAAAGAGAAGTCTTATAAAAAATTTTAATGATTTTAAGATGTTTTAGAACTTTTTTGATCTTGAATATCACTTTTCTTCTAGAAGCTTAAAAGCATTTTTTTGTAATTGATATAATATATATTTTAAGTGCTACAATCTTCTAATATTTATTACTATAATAATTTTGTACTGCTACTTCCGCCTCTTTTTGAATTCACGCAATTGATAGGCAGTTCAGCATGTTTTATATTTAATGATAGGGGAAGTACGAACAAAATGACATGGTGTTTTATTTTCAGTCAATCGGTTTTACTTATCTTAGAAGATCTTATTAGATTTATTGATGACCAGTAACATTGAAGACCATTCAATGAAGTAGAAACTATAATAACATATTTATTGAGGAAAAATGCAACTAATTGCAAAATCCACTGTCTCAATATAGTACGGCCATATATGGTACGTGATATAAAGGTAAGGAATACAGTTCACAAATAATAAATCGTTTGGTTTTTTTGGTATATCGAACCATGCCGTAAGAGCCTGAAGGGGAAAAAAATCAATGTTCGCCAGACTCAGAACCGAAAAAGAGTGTTTCGCATTAAATAAAAGTTTCTTCTTGTTTCCGGTAAATCTTTTGATTTATAAAAAATAATCTATAAAGCCATTCCGATTTGTGAGCTTTAAATTTTCTTTTTTCTTGGTCTCGAATGAACTAACTGCCCGGTAGCGCTTGCGAAATTGTACTATGCCATTTCGTCATTTTATAAGTATGTCATTTAGTCCGAAGGTGAACAAAAATGAAATATTATTCAAAAATTTCATCAAACACAAAGATTATTGCAATAAAATTGACTAAGCGCATCGATTTTAATAGAAATAATAACAATCGCCAAAAAGTATGGGAAGACCAACAAATTAAAGTTTTGAAGGTGCGATCACGTTGGAACTGATTAATGCGACAAGATTATGATAATGACTCTAAACATCTGACAGGATCGTGATTAAGGCTTTCTTAATGTAATAGAGACTAAATTTCTAAATAAAACCTAGCCAACTTTTAAATAAAAAACAATGTGTCATTATGTCCATATATTCCATGTTGTCAGATTTTTCCTTTTTATTTTTTTAAAATAGTTTTTATGTTAAAGTGTATTAAAATTGCAAATATTCCGATGTTTTTAAATAGAAACATTTTTTATGCATTTTTATAGTTAGATGTTAAATTATACTTTAATAATTGAAGATCAAATCTCCCTAACCTAGCGTTCTTAATAGCGTTTTTAATACTTTACATTTTTAACAGTTTGGTAATGAGCATACCTGAATAATATTACTGCTTAGGAAGTCGATTTTCTGTCTACATATCCTCCTGGGTTTATTGAATTCCTCCATTTTTTCATTGATAACTTTATATCGCTTGCGAAGTGCATTTGTAAAGTTTGTGTATAAGGAGACAAATGCCCACAAACCACTCAATGGTCCGTAATAAGTTAGCCAATTAACGCCAGCCGTGAAATAACCATTTAGAATGGAAATTATGTTCACCAAAGCACAGCTACCAATTCCAATGCCCCAAACAACTATTTGCTGAATTAACATTTGTTTCACAGTTGACTGAAAATATTATAAGAGCACCCATCTAATTATCTATATGTGCTCATCATTATTACTAAATTAAATGAAACAACTAATGTTATCATGATAAGTTTCTAATACCTATAATTTATGATGATCTGGAAAGTAGCGATTGGAAAGAAATGAAGTCCCTACGTCAGAAGTAGTAGAAAGTTGTTATCAAATTTAAAATATGTTGGACTAGTATTGAATTCTAAATTATTATCAATATTTTTACAAAATTTATTTAATTTCAAATTAGTACAAATACTTTTCTTTTGGAAACAGTTACATACCGATATTCTACGATTTCAATATTTTATTTTTGACTATTATGATGTTTATTAATATTAAATTTGGTAAAAACGCCCGATTGAGAAGTATTATGACATTGCATATTTAATGGAGTAAACTTTTAAACTACGACTATGTACTGATAACTAACACTATCAATTATAAAAGTTGAAATGTATTGATTAATTTGCGGAATATTTACAGGAGAAATCTTATAAAAATGTTTAATAGTTTTAATATATTTTAGAGCGGCATGGCATCTTTGATATCACGTTTTTCTAGAATCTTAAAAGAATTACTGTTTTGAAATTAATATAATATTTAAGTCCACTATCTTCTAATATTTATTAATATAATAATTTTCTACTGCTGCTTCCGCCTCTTTTGAACTCACGCAGCTGATAGGCATTTTAGATCTTAGATATTGAATAATAATAATGATTATCTATAAAATAGTTATTTTTATATATTACCTGATATTTTGCATCAGGCGCGATTTTCTTCAACTTCTCATCTACCAAGATCATAAGATTGTAACAATTCGTTATCAAATTTTGTTGAAAAATTGCACATAACCAACACACGGTTTGCGTCGCACACCCAATTGATATTTGCAAATAGGTTGTTGAGGTTTTTATCGTTAAATCACCATCAGTGTCTTCAATACTTCTTTGAACTGCTGTACCAAAAGTCATCCAGTACGAGAACATCAATAAAACTGTGTAAATAGCTGCCCAGCGATTGGGGCGATAGACATTGTTATTCCGGGAATATGGAGCTTGCCCTATAATTCTATTCATATAGTATACTGGAGTAATAGCTGCACCAAATGTTGACATTGTTTTCTTCAATTTGCATGGTTTTAATTGATAATGCTCGTTAAAATCGTTTTCACTTTCAGAAATCTAATGAGGTGTGCATATATGGCATACAATTTAATTTAACTGTAAGCCAATTTATTAAATGTTAATAAATAAATTAGTTAAATTCGAGTTTAAATTATATTCCAAAATTATTTTCTTATATAGAACTAATGAACGCGATTTGTTCGAAAAAATGTGAGTTGCGTTGGTGAACACTATTCTAATATATGTAATAAATTGTAAGTTACGTCTATATAAACAGTTCCAAATACAAATAATCGGCCTAATTAGAAATATGTACGATGGTGAACATTAATTTCTTTTCCGTATTTTTTATGCTATTGACGATGTCAGATTTATGATTGAGAATTGATGGTATCACGTCCTTAGTATATACAATTTATATATATATATATATATATATATATATAAATTTTTCTAAAAACTTTTAAACTTTTCTTAAAAAAATATTTTTTAATATATTATATTGACGTTGTGGCAATATGAATATAAAAAAATGAGATTTGAAAAAAAATCATTTTGTTTCTAAAACAAAGAAAAGAAAATTAACAGGAGTTCATGCAAACTGCCCTGTACTCATTAAAATTAAAAAAATAAACATAATTGAAAATACTCGAGTTATAAGTGTGTATGGTATACTGATTAAATATAAAATATTATATTTTTCTCTTCAATAATACCGGGTGTTTTTAAGTTGACGATAATGTACATGCAAGGCAAAATCATTCATACAATTATGAACATGATTATCGTTTTTTATTGAGATTTATGATAATACCCCATTATTATTGTTCTATTATTTTTATTATTGTTAAATTTCATATTAAATTATTATTAATTTTTATTCAGAATTACTATTTACTTTCCACTTCTCCATATAGTATGAATTTTGCTAATTTCTGCTGGAGCGAGAGAAATCGATATTATAACACAAAACCGACATCGAAATCTTATTACCCATTAAGGAGATGGTACGATTTTCACAAAATTATAACATATTTTAAATAAAAACACTAATTTTATTTAAATAAAATTATAATATTCACTAGATACGTGTTAGATTAAATAGTATTTAGTATTGCGCCATTGATTTTCATTTATTGTGACGACTGCAACAAATTTTAAGAGGTTTAAATTAATTTAAATATTTATGTAAATATATTATATTCCATTTATTTAATTCTTTGTGTAATTCTGTTTTTAAGCATTTAACTATTTGCTAAGCGTTGCTTAATATTAAAAACTAATTATCTAAATGGCTCATTATCAGAGTTGCCTATGCTATATTGGAATACTCATACTAATTGTAATGGACGCAATATATAACAAGTACTTTTCATTGAATATAAGATTGAAATCTTCAATCAATACTAGTATATGAAGCCAATTCCGGTCAAAGTTTCCTCGACTTAAATGACTGCAAAAATAAAATTTCATTGTATTTTAATACGCACACTTTATTTTACATGAAACCATAATTATTTTTAAATTTGGTTTTAGAGATACAATGAAAAAAGTAAAGTAAAGTAATAAATTTTGTTAACATATCTATTATTGGTTCCGTATGAAGATGCATCTACAGTAGAGCTCGTTAAATAACCGGACTAATTGTTTTTGATAGACATTTGGATAATCGAATATCCGTATAATTGAATGTATGAAGAATAATGCTGTGTATTTATTAAATATAACAATTACATACATAGGCATCAACGAAAATAATGTTTATTAAGAAATTGAAACTTCCTTTTGTATGCACATATATATTTTTTGAGATTACATTACATACGTATACTGAACTGCAATCAAGCAAAAATTCGAATTGTAAATATGTACATACATAGAAATTGGTCGAAGTTGGTAGTCCGGATAATCGCGAATCCGTAGAACCGAGGGCCGGATAAACGAGGTTCTACTGTACAGTGTTTAATTAGTTAGACTAAATCGCCCCGCTTACGCGTTTCGATATCTTGTCTCTAAAAGAGCTTTTCAAAAAAAATTGAAAGTCTCAAAAATCTTATTTTTTCAAAGTTTTGAAAAAAAAAATCAAAGCCATACTACGCATCACTAGTTATTGATTATATTTTGACGATTATAAATTGAAATTCTCGCTACCTTATTTCTACTGAATTTTTTGAGTGGTATTGCCCTCGATATCACTTTTGGAACTAAAGTAGTTTATGCAAACTGCCCTGTACATTATGCGCCCCCACCACTATTTCAAAGACATTGAAGCTACATATAATGTAGCTGCAATTTATTGTCAAATTTATATATTATCCATACCACAAGATTATGAATGTCGCCTTATCATTTTGGCAATACCATATCATCTTTAGATCAAGTAATTTCTTTGAATCATAGAACTTCAAAAATATGTCTTATAGATCAGCCAGTTTAATTGCCATCGGCCCTTCAACGCGATGCATACGAAAAAATATACGCACGCCTTAGGGGGCGCCAACACAAAATTTTCAATATAGTTTTTTTTAATATATAATTTCTTTGCATCTTATACTAATCTTTCCACAATATTTTTAAAATTCGTAAAAATTTCACTTTGTAAAAACAAATGGGAAATTAAAGATGGATACATACAATTCGGTCTTCACGATATCGATTAGGAGATGTTTAAGATGCAATTTTGGATATCTTAAATAATAAAAAATTAAAATTAATTTAATCCACCATGAAGTACCAGTGTTACGTTATGGTTATGATTATGTTATACCGTTTAAAAGATTTCAATTTGTAATATAGTATGAGAATTGAGACTCATCATTTCATTTAAAGCAGTTCTACATTTAACATCGCTGATGTTATAAATGTACATGCAATTTGGCGTGAAGAGTAATTTAAAAAACAATAATTATCTTTAGGTAAACGGTAAATATTCGTTTATTATATTAAAAAATTGTAAACATGGATACAGAACAACGTCTGTCGGGTCATCTAATGTGTGTATATATATATATATATATATATATATAAATATATATATATATATATATATATATATAAATATATATATATATATATATATACACCTAAGTCTGTTTTTACACGGAGATTGGTTCCAGAAGAAGCCTTGTAAAAAAAAACGTGTAAAAAAAGACATTGATCTTATACAAAAATGGGTGATTTGTCCTACTCTCTAAAACCTATTAAAATTAGTGAAGAACAAGAATTTTCAAGAACAAAAATTTATGTTTATTTTAATAATATTTCCCCTAAATTAGTGCTATTCACATTTGCTTTGACCAGTAAGAATTGTTTGTACGCGCTAAAGGGGAATTTACTTAAATCTTTAAGCTAGTGTTCGCAAACTATCGATACTATCGATGGTTTCAGACTTTTTTCTTTCATAAGTACATACTTTTTTGTGATATGAACATACATCGCAATAATTAAATTTGACAAAAAAATTTAAGTACATAAAATTTCAAATCGTGCTAAATGGAATAAAATCGTGTAAAAAAATTAAAAATATTCAATTTTCAAACCGTGTTATATCAAAACCGTGTACAAAAAGACCGTGTAAAAACAGACTTAGGTGTATATATAATATGCTTGTACACTAAAATCTTCGTCTAGTCAAAAACTATAGACCTACAAAAATTGATTTGAAGATATTGTATGTTGACATACCACCGCATTTTGTTTATTTCAATGCCGACAGTGCTCATGATAAGTTATAATTATATCATGTTTGCCAAATAAGCAGGCTCATTCGAACAAGGATTTTTATCTATTACATCTTTTATAAAATCAATCTGTCAATAATTACTTATTGTGTAAATATAGAGTGTCATTAATCGCACGTACAGATATTTGTTAAGCTTACTTATATATATATATATATATATATATATATATATATATATATATATATATATATATCTTATATATAAAATTCTTCTGTAATGATGTATGTAAATATACTCCTCCTAAACGATTATTCGGATTTTGATGAATCTTTCAGGAGTTTGTTAAGGAATTTTTTAGGATTAAATAATTTTAGAAATAAATGGAAAAATTTGCAAAAAACATCATATTATTGTTTGACATTGAAAACATTTTGATACAAGAGAACTGTCATCTGCCAAAAATATTTGTATAATATACTTAAATGAAAACGACGATGTTGTCTTAGCCATGTATTTTAAACAACTATATTTTACAGAATAAAAAGAATAAAATTGAAAGCTCAAAATGGCGGGTCAAAAGCCCCCCTACCAGATTTTGGTTATTTCTAAAGCACACCGTTAGATGGCGACATAATTAATTATATTTTATCCAATATTGATTCGCTTGAATTTTGAATTTAGTTTAAACGAGGCTAAATAATATTAGTATATGCATAATTATGAATAAGAATGATTCCATATTTATGATTAAAACCAGCTAAAATGTGCCAGAAATTAAAACAATATAAGTTACAAAATATGTTGGCTGATGAAATTATATAATTTAGTTTAATAAATAACACAATACTTTCAAAATTGCATATACATTATTTTCTTAAACTTACGCATGTTGTATTTTGCTTTGCTTTACTAAATTATTTCAATACAAATAATATTTCTAGTTGTTGAAAAAATGACGATTTAAAATTGTGATTGAAGTGTGCCATATGAATTAGATTTTACAATTCACCTAAAATTTTAACTAAAGTAATAATGTTTAATAAATTATTAGTAAGAAAAATGCAATTTAGAAATATTAATTGACAAAAAACAATTAATATAGTGTACGCGTTTATAAAATTTGTAGCAATTATTTTGGCTGGAAATAACAAAGGTGTTATTGTTCTTTTACCATAGATACTATATTTATTCTTTCTGTATTTATTATACTGATCAAAAAACTAAAGTTTCCAATACGTATATAGGTTATGCTAATACCATAAATAGTAAATTAAAAAGTATATGATAGGATATTAAAATATGTGGAACTTTTGAAATGTAAACATGGGTACAGGACAACGTCTGTCGGGTCATCTAGTATATATATACATATATATATATATATATAATATATATATATTTTAAAGTGTTGTAGAGTTTTGCACTGTTTCACTGTTTCAGTATTTGTAAATTTTATTAATAATACTTGCTCATAAACCCGTTGTTACAATTGCCTCACTACAGGATGCCATTCACCACTAGTTCTATTCCATAACTGGATGAAAAGTTCTCTCTTCTTTTGTCGTCTCATATTTGTAAAATTGATTGAGTATCAATAATATATGATAATGGATTCTTTATTGTTTGCATAGTTGACTAGTTTTAGTATTGTAATTTCTTTTTAATGTTTCTGTAGAGTATCATTAGCATTTTGTAATCAATTTTTAAAAGCAATTTTTTCTAATGCTTTCTGCAATTCACTCAACACATTCTAAATATAAATAATCACAGTTTTTTAACCGAATTTTCTATTCATTCAAAGTTTTTTCAATTTTTAACTTCCCGTAGGGTAAGTTATTGTAATGGGCCGAAAATCGGAATTGAAAATTTTTACATTTCTCGACGTTTTGAAGGTTTCTGAGCATTTTGGCATACCTCACAAAAAATGGATGTGTGTGCGTGCGTGTGTGTGTGTGTATGTGTGTGTGTGTGTGTGTATGTATGTGTGGATACAAATTTCCAGTCACGTTTTAGGGCGCACGGATCAACCGATTTGAATGGTTCAAAAAACATTCGATTCCTATTGATAGGAAAAAGAGCTGATTAGTTTTTGGCAAAGGCAGGTCCAGCCGTTTCGGAGATACGGAGCAAAGAGTGCGGAAAATAGAAATCGAATTTTTGAGAGAACGGAGTATCCGATTTGAATGATCTAAAAAACATTCAATTAGTAATGATTGGGAGAAGTGTTTATTAGTTTTTGGCAAAGGCAGGCCCGGCCATTTCGAAGATACGGAGCTAAATATGTATAAAAAAAATGGCAGTTTTTGAGAGAACTAAGCGTCCGATTTGAATGATTCAAAAAACTTTCTGCTTGTCTTAACAAAATAATTGATTTTGGAAAAAAAAATTTTGTTCCTTTTTTTTTTTTTTTTAGTTTTTTGTTGAAACAAATAATTTCAACTTTGCAATTCAGTTTATATAATTTTTATAAATATTAGACAATGTTACAATATTTATAATAATCTATTTGAAACATTCAGTATTCCTCGAACATTTCGTTACGGTACGGGAAGTTCCAGCAATTTGCCTTAAGGCACGATGCCACCCACCCCACTAGTTTCTA